CAGTATTTAAGTGATTGTATAAAGGAAAATGAAAATGTAATAAAAGAATCTTTGATTAACATTAAAAAAAAAAAGATCACACATCATGCCGTCACGACGTCAGTTCTCCTCTCTGAGAGGAGGTGCTGACTATGGAAGAGATGCATGGAAATACTGTAACCAACTGACACACTTTCTACAATTTGTAATGGAAGATGTTTTTTTATTTTTATTTTTATGTTTGTTTGTCCTTGTTCAAAAACAAATAAAAATTGTTTTTTAAAAGAAATTTGTACTTCTAGTTTCTACACAGATTACAGTTTTTGCAATATAGTCATTATTTTGGACCTATATTTCTTAAAAGGGAGACTTAACTTAAATAAGAAACTCTTATCACCTTGAAAAGAATAAAGCTTGTTATAGGAAATAGTTCCTGTATATGTTGGTGGATGATACAGGGAGGAAGGAGAGTAGGTAAAACATATATACCAACTATCTATGGATAAGAGCTAGAGAGCAAGTGAGCTGGAAAGTACAAAGAAAATTCATCGAGGTTATACTTCAAAACAGATAACAAAGCGAGGGAAAGAGATAACAAATAAACATGGAAGTTGTAGTGATTTATTACTAAGTATATCTGCTCTTTATGGTCTGGAGGTTATGAGAAGCTGGAAAGTCAGTGGAATTTAAATCCCATTTCCAAGATAATTGATATTCATTAAATTACCTGCCATGGCTGAAGATCCTGAAGATTGAGTTTTCTGCCTTTCAGCTTTCGCCTGTGTTGTTGACCACACATCATGGCATGAAAAGCATGTGCCACAGCATACACTGCGTTGTATATACTGTAACTATGACTGGTCATTTTCATCTCAAAGAAAGCCCCAGGAAGGCTCTCCAGTTTCTCCTTCCCTGTACAGAGACCCTCTGTTTCCTCATTCTCAGATGGATTTGGGACCGCACAGCCAAATGCTTGTTCCCACACATTTTTGACAAAACCATCCCCTTTTGAGGAGAAATGGTTTCTTGTCTGGAGAAAATGTTGGAATCCTGTTATTTCACTTGAGTGAGCTGCAAAGGTCAGAGCACCATGTAGGACTTGGATATCCCAGCTTTTTTGGTAAAAGAATGATGCAAGACCCATTTGGGAAGCCACGATCCACACTTTACCTTTTGGCTTTACAGAAACTATTTCCATTTCAGGTAGACGTAACAACCACCTTACATTTAAAAGGTTATTCTCATTGAGTATTATAGCATTGGCTTTGCTTTTAACAAGAAGGTGAAACATTTCAACAAGCCATTTCAGATTATCGAAAAAATTGTCTATGTAAACTGGTCTGAATTTTTCTAAGAAGGCAATGCAGATACCATGGAGAGGAAATTCTGAAATGATTAACTGGTCAAATTTTGCTCCAAGTATTCCAACCCATGTCCACCTGAAGTACAAAAATAGTTTAATAATCCCTCTGTAGTAAAATTGTTCACCTGGAACCATGGGGTAGTAGAAATGGCTTTCATATTGGAAACAGTCAGTTGGAAACTATGAAAGTATAAATACAGATTTAAATATAAATGTGTGTTTGTGTATGTGTGTGTGTGTAGAAAAAACAGTAAGATGAAATACACAATCTCAAAATAAAATGTATGTCATTTCTAAATAAAGTGTTATGGTGTTAAAGTGGTTAGAATGCAGAATTGCAGGCTCATTCTGCTGACTATTGATTGCCAGTAGTTCGGCAGTTCAATTCTCACCAGATCAAGATTGACTCAGCCTTCCATCCTTCTGAGTTCAGTAGAATGAGGAACCAGATTGTTGGGGAAAATATGCTGACCTGTAAACTGCTTAGAGAGGACTGTAAAGCATTGTGACGCAGTAGATAAGCCTAACCGCTATTGCTAATGCTAAATTAATAGTTTAAAAATATATCAGCATATGTTTTCACTTAATTTCTATGGACAGTATGTTAAAGAGACCATAGTGTTACATTCCAGATCTACAATTCTATGATAATCCGATTCCTGCCCCTCATTTTCCTTCCATAAAGATAATGACCTCCAAATCCTGGGGACACTGCTACTTGGTTCTCTGGAGCCTGAAATCAGAAAGCAGCTGAGATCCTGGACAATATCACACCTGTACATCCTTTCCTGGCCAATCACCATAATACCCTCTGTGGTTCATGGATGAGCTGAGGGTGCTGAAAATGGCAAAGTTGGGCATGGAAGCAGGGGAAGAAAGCAAAGTATTAAATGGGTCAAAGCTATATTAAAGCCTGCCTTGTGGTACTAAGAACAGCAAAATACCAGAAATTATTGTGACTTCACAGTGTCACTCAGCAGCCCTGTTCAATGTCACCAGGTCCTTCCTCAGGAAGGATGGCTCAGACAAACATCTGCAGATACACAGAAGTGTTTGTGGAACACATACTGGAGAAAATTGCCTACATTCACTATTAGTTGGATTCCAAGCATCCATTAGAGAAGCCCAAGGATCAGACATATCCTATAGCAGTTATATCCCAACAGACCTAAGGAAATGGACAGGGTCCTTAGGAATGTCAACGCAAGTACTTGCTTGTTAGACCCTTGTCCCTCATGCTTAGCAAAACGTATCACTGAAAGAGGAGTTCTTTCTAGCACCCTGTCATAGAACATAGAATCAGAGGTCATAATCACTAAAAAAATAAAACAACTTTGCAAACAGCGCTTATACTTCTGAATACTGCAGCAACACAATTGTCATACAGTATGATTGTCATTTGGGTGCTTCACAATTTGTGCACTTTTAGAACCATTGCTGCATGCCAAAGTCATATGACCCACATTTCAATTTGCTTCCAACAAGCAGAAGTAATGCACCATGCAGAAGTGAAATCCTGTGTCATGATAAGATGATGTCTCACTTAACAACCATGACAATTTGCTTAACAATAAAAGCAGAAGTGAAGTTGTAAGAGAGGCATAGCCATAAAGTGTTTCAATTACTGATCTTGGTGCTTAGTGTTAGGATTTCCAGTTCCATTTGTAATTGGTAAGTGAGCACTACATTAAAAGGAGAAAGCCCTCCTTAAGCACCTGAATGAATAGGAAAATATATTAATAAAATTAAATAGAAATAAATTAAAAGCAGAAACATTAAATAGGATTTTTTTCTCAGCATATTAACAACAGATGATGTTTAAGAGTTAACACCAAATTCTGAAACTGTTTTTTTTTTAAACTTTATGCTATATCAAAGGTACTTCCTTAAATATGATCAAAGGAGAAATATAAACAAAAGTTAATTATATTTTTAGGTTTTGCAATTTTGTACATCTGGAAAGACAAAGCCATCTATCTTACCTGTGGAATTTTGTAAGCCTCTAATATATCTGCCATATCACTACCGATTCCTGGATCAACAGTCCCAACAACTGATATGAGTTTGTTCAGGGTGCCACACTTGTAATTGGGAACAAATCTGTTCTGGCTAGATAAAAGTTCCATTTTGGCATGATACTCAGCACTCTTATCATAGATTCTGAAGCCTAAGGTGATATTAGGTAAGAGTTGGACGTCTTCATTGATCTTCTTCACAGCAAATACCATAGTTAAGATATGCTGATAGTATTTAGTCAGGACTCTGCAACAGGAATTAGATACTGTATTCTGCATCTATAAAGGACAATGAAACTAACCCCATGAAAAATATAATCTCTCTTTCATGTTAACCAAATAAAGGTTAAGTTCTATTCAATCATTTAGAAGATAATACTCATTGTTTTATGTTTTTATTTTTATACCTCAACCCAGGTGTAAATATTGTGGAATTATTTTTAAAGGGAATAGTTTACTTTTCCCCTCTCTTTGCTATTTCAAAATAATTCTTTTGTGCACCTGACCAGCATCATTACCAAGCACATAGCATGGACATTAGGTTCATACAGCTGGCAAGCAAAATCACTATTTTTTTATACTGGGGTGCTTTTATTTTGATTTAAGTGACTTTAAAGCATAATTAAAAACTTTTTGAATATTAGAACTTCTACTACAATTAAACTAAAAATCAAATAGCTTTCCTTCCCTAACAATATCTGTAAAAATAGGTGATGATAATGTGATACTTATAGCCATGGTAATCTTCAATGTAATGGAGAAATTGGGAATGAAAAATAAAGTGATTTTAAAAAGGCGGAATGAGGATTTTACCGATAAAAGAACATTGTTAGCAAAGATGTTTGCATCTGGACTCCTGTATTCCCCAGCAAACTGTATCATTCTATAAATGATAAAACTAAAATATTATTCTATATAAAACTATATTAGACTATATTATTCCTATAAAAATGTCACATTTACTGAAATAAAATATTTTGTACCTATGACCAAACTGCATTCCAGTAGTTCAGTGCAATTTGAAATTTAACGAAGTCAGTTTTATAATATGATGCTATAATTTTCAACCCAAGAAGTGATGGCTGGAATTCCTTTTTTTCTGAATTTAATACCCATAAAATTTGGAATATTAGTTGAATTCTTAAAAACTTGATTTAAGAAATATAGGTTTTTCTTGTTTTCCCCTTCAAATGCAATAAAATAATCTATAAACTAAAAAAAAATCATTAAACATTAATTCTTATTTTTAATTATTGTAGCAAAATACATCATGCAGATACTATATAATGTAATCTAGATTAATAGCTGTAAAAAGAAAATAATATCTTACAGGGATTCACCCACAAGAGAATGATGGGGATCTTCCGCAAAACCTCCAAAATCTCTAGTTATGAAAACAAAAGAAGTCATACCACCAATGAGGAGGTCACCTGGCTGGAAAAATTTGTGATCAATTGGGACGGGATCTTGGATTTTATTGCATTTTATTGGTTGTGTCTTGCAAGTCATATGTGGCAATACCAGTAGGAAAAGATTTGGTATCATCATAATAAATATTAATCTGTTTGACAAAATTTGTCTCATTGCTGCAAAATTCTTAAGAACACTCAAAAGAGGATGAGGTTGAACTCTCTCTGTTCCTCACATAACATAATCTTAGAATGTAAATGGCTCGGTGGGGGGGAATTTCTGATCATTTTACCTTACATTTTTAATGATTTATTTGTCAGTGAGCACTCAGTGCTAATTTTTCCAAGTACAATAATTTGTCAGTCAGGGCTTTGAGGAACAGTAAAGTTAATAACAGTCTTCTTTGACAATTATAAAAGGAAAAGGAAATCACAACCTTCAAATTATTAATGAAGTAATTAAGGTGGAAATGAGCCAACAAGTCATGGTACGATGCCAGAAAAGGTTTTGAAGATAGTAATGGCAAAGATGGAGATAGTCATGCTGCATTCAGAAACCAAGCCAGCCACCACTACCCCAAAGAAATTCAGAGAATACGAGAACATGAAAAACCCCACCTCTTTTAGACACTTTACAACAAAATTCACTTTTTTTCTTTGCAATTGCCTTGATAGTTGCAGTGAGATCTTAAGAAAAAATCTCTGTTCCTTTATGATGCACCTCTCTATTATCATGATGGAAAATGCAAAGTAATATCAATGTTCATACAAAGAAGGTCTTAAAACAGGAACTATAAATTTAGATCTCCGTAGTCCTTCACTTTCTGTTTCTCTTCTTTTCAATTGAAGAGATGTGCTTGTGTTTTAATTCTTGTCTCTATCAGATTAGTATTTCATTAAGACACCGTTTCTAACCATACCAAGTGGTGGTATTTAAGAAATTGAAATATATTCTTGTGTTTATGAACAAAAGGCTTCCTAAATGTCATCCTATAGCTAAATTTCAGCCACATATTCCACAAATAAAACATCAAATTACCATATTTTTTGAGTATAAAATGCACTTTCCCCCACCCCTAAAAATGGGTGAAAATTTAGGTGCATCTTATAGACTGAATATAGGCATTTTGGGGCTCCCAAGCCCTCTATATGTCACATTTTTGCCCTCCCCAGCCCCCAAACCCCAGAAGCACTTTGCAGTGCTCCGCACAGCCCAGTTTTTGGTGAAAACAGGGAGAGCAAAAACACAATGTGTGGAGGGCAAAAGCTACTTTTTCCTGATTTCCTCTCTTAAATTTAGGTGTGTCATATAGTCCAGTGTGTCTTATAGTCTGAAAAATATGGTAACATTAATGTTAATCAAAATTAAAACTTATATAGAATAATTAAATATTACTAAGTTTAAAAAATAGAACTCTGGCTCTTTTTGAAGATTTTTCATATTTCATGTATAAATCAAGAAAAATGACTGAGAAGACTTGGTCCCAAATCATCACAAGACAAGTTTGTAGTACCTATCCTGAAAATCATATAGTTCATGAGCTGAAAAAATGTAAAATATTGTGTCCAGGAAAAAAAATCATGTTGGGGTACATGAACAAAATATTTATATTCATCAAATTTCATCATCATTATCTTCACTTTATTGTCATTGCACTTCATAAAATGAAATTAAATACCAATTTGACTTGTTCCAGTAGCCCACTTATTGTCCGATCATCTTTGTTCTCCAATATCTGGCATAGTCCTTGTTAATTATTGTAATCATCTTAAAATTGCTTCCTAGCTCTTATTCATGTTGGCAATATTATGCATTTTTCTTGTCTTTATTTTTTATTTAATTGTAATATTTAAAAACTTGAAGTTATACAATATGGACAACTTTAAACAGGTTATTATACTGATGTACATTACATTTAATTTATTTCTACTAATATTTTTTTATATTGCTCTTTTTCCCTCCTATAAATAGAAACATATAGCCCAATCTACAGAAATTCATTTTTCAGGAACTTGACAAATTCTGACTTAAATATCTTTCAGAGACCTGTTTCTCGACATAAATTTGCAAATTACAAATATTGTGGGAACTGCTCAATATTATTAAGAAAATATGATAATGTATAGATCTATTTTATAAAAACATGATTTTCTAGAAGCAGATGCATTATGCCAAAAGTTTACTGTTACATAAAGATAGTTTAAGTTGAAAGTAGTCATCTCTGGTTGATCTAGGATTTCCTGAAGTGAAATGGGTGGTAAAAAATGTAATAAATAATAATGAACATATGCTGATCAATGTATCGACTGCAATAATATTGAAGCCAACCAACACACAAAAAATTTCCTGTTCTTCAAGGGTTGGTACTGTGTCCCTATGGAATGATTATGCAATACAATGCTCTACTTCATGGGCTCAGTATAATTCAAGTACTTTTTGGTCAATCTGAAATGTTCTGCTATCTCTGTCATCTGCATTTAAAAGAGGAGCATGGCCAATCTTTCAAAGAATAATCTTAATAAATTTCTCTGATAAAGACCTGACAGAGTTAATATTCTATAAAGAATTTATCGTTGTCAATATTTTTCTACTTCAGGTAGCAAAATATAAAGAATATTACATTACAAGTTATGATATCTTTCTGTATCATTTATTCATTTATTTATTTATTTATTTATTTATTTATTTATTATCTTAAATCACAATCCTCTTCAAAACAAGAGAATAGTGGCTGATTAATGAAGACTTACTATATTTAAGCTAGAATAGTTGCAAGAATTTTCTGCTTAACACATACTTCATAAAAGAATCCCAGACTGTAAATATCAATGATGAAGATAATTTAGAGGAAGTAATACAAGAGAAATAATAGAAAAAAGGAGATTTTATGTTTATTCTATAAATATATTTTTTCAACTGTTCTGTCTGTTTAGCTCAGGCTGGAACAACAACATTCTCAAACACTATCCATGTACAGGCGTTATCATGCCTCCACAATCTTTTTTTTCTGAAGTTGAATCCTGATTCTTGAAACAACTTGAATCCAATTCATTTTTTTTAATGGAAATAAGCTGCATTTTTTTAAAACAGAATATCCTCTTCATTTCTAATTTATTAATTTTAATAAAAGAAGTACTAATTTGAGAAAGCTTTTCTCATATACTGAAAACAATTCTTAATAATTTCACCCCTTCTGTGAGTCAATTAGCCTTATTTTCATGCCTATGCCTAATATAAGCCCTACCCAATACTAAACCCTGCCAACCATCTGGTTGTACGATGTGGGCAAGCACATGAGTAAAAACCAAGTTAGGGCATGGGTGGAGCTGCCCCACATGCCTCACACCTGCTTACCTTAGGACTGCCACAGTCATGCCTTCTGCATCCTGTCACCTGTCACATGCTGCCTGACCTATTCTGCAGCCACTTGCAGCCACTCATATGTGGATGCCACATGTGCATCACAATGGTGCTGCTGCTCATGTGCACAATAGCATAACATGCTACACAGCCTCCTGCTGTGACCGGTGCACCAGCATGTCTTGACCCAAGTGATCTGCCGAAGAAGTTGGGCAGCAGTGCAACATATATTGGGAGATGGGAGACCTGGCTGTGGTGGTCCTAAGGTAAAGGGTAAGATATCCTCCAAAAATAAGATCTGGTGCTTATTTTGGGGACCAAAAGAAACTAAGACTGGATCTTATTTTGTGACAAACAGTAAAAGTAGAGATATTAAAAGAAAAGAATAATGGTAATAGGATTATTTGGGTTTGTATATTATTACTATTTTCTCTTTATTAGTTGTTCCCTGTTATTTAATTCCGGTCTTATAAGGATTATGTAACATTTGGGGAGATATATGCAGCCTAGCAACCCAGCACTGGAGGCCAAAATGGAGAAAACCTCCACAGCCACCATGTATTTGCCTTTGGTGCTCAGGTAGGATGGAACAAAGGAGAGCCACACACTGCAGAAGATCAGCATGCTGAATGTGAGACATTTGGCCTCATTGAAACTGCTGGGGAGATTCCTAGCAAAAAATGCTACTGTGAAACTGGCAACTGCGAGAAAGCCCATGTAGCCCAGGACACAATAGAACATGGTAGTTGAGCCTTCATTGCATTGCAATATGATTTCCTCTATTTTTGAATAGGTGTCAACATTGGGATAAGGGGGAAATATGAGCAACCACACAATACAGATTCCTATTTGAATCATGGAACCAGAAAGAACAATGGAAAGTGCCAGTTTTCTTCCCACCCAGTTTCTCATCCTGGATCCTGGCTTGGTGGCCATAAAAGCCATAACTACAGTGATGGTTTTTGCCAGCACAGAAGACACAGATATTGAGAAGATGATTCCAAAGCTAATTTGTCGGAGGAGACATATAATATTGCCTGGTTTAACAAGGAATTGCAGTGAGCAAAGGAAGCAAAGGAGGAGAGAAATGAGTAGAATATAGGTGAGATTTTGATTATTGGCCTTGACAATAGGTGTACTATGGTATTTCAAAAATGTTGCCAGCACCACAATTGTACAGAGAGAAAAGAAAAGTGCCAAAATGGCTAAACCAAGTCCCATTGGTTCTTTATATGACAAGAAAGATATTTTCTTGGGAATACAGGAATCTTGATTCTTATTTGGATATTGATCTTCTGGGCATTTCAGACAGTCATCCATGTCTAGAATTTAAATATATATAAATTTTTGTTAACTTTGTCCTGTAATATTATTATTAGTATCATTACTTCACTTTTTCTAGAAGCAACTCTATTCCTGATATTATCTATCTGGGTTTTGTATTTGGCACCTAAGTGAACACAAAAAAGAACATGAAAATTCTATGCTATGTAAGAGAATATTACATACTCAAGACTTCGATTCAAGTTGCTTATTTATTACATGTGCTTGATATTATTTTTCAACAATTTGTTCTAGCAGATATTATTGACAATAATATGAATGAAATTAATGTAACAAAATCATCTCTGTATCAGATAATTAAGGTCTAATATTCTTTAATTTTTAAACTTCTATTTTATAAAATAAAAAATAATGCTCATATCTATAAATTTAGCTGGTTCATTCTATCATGAGAAGATTAATCACTTTCATTTGTTTGTCTCCTAAGTGGTTCCTGGTTCACTGAAACCAATGTGCTATGCAAAGAATATTACTGTTTTATTTTCAAAGACTGCTTCCCATCGTGTGCCTTTCTCTTGCAAAACCTTCCTTTCCATTGAATGTAAATAAAAAGATCAATTCTTCTCTTGCTAATTATTCCAGTATTGGGAGAGTATTCTAAAAAACAGAGCAGTGGGGAAGAAGGCTACATATAATGCTCGTTTAGCAACTACTAACAGTTACATTAATGAAAAGGGAGCGTTGTGACCAATTCATCTCTTTAAAATCTTTGCAGGTCACTAGAGAGAAAGGAAAGCTGAAATAATATCATAAACACAGTTGCAGTTTCACTTGGCAGCTGCTTCAGTTAATGATTAAGTTTCTGACTCCACTTGTGTTCACTAAATGAAACTAAATGAAAACTTAACAACAGTTTGAATTAATGTTAGTCTTTAAAAATGTGAGCAATGACCTAAATTCAAATGTATGACTATCTCTTACCCCCTAAGGTCATATGATCACAATTTAGGTGATTGGCAATAAGTTCACATTTATGATTTCTTGCAGAATCCTATGGTCACATAATCTTGCTTTGCAAATTTTTCTGGTAAACATCTTTGGTCAAACTGAAGTCACACTTATAATCATATGACTTGAATTACAATCATTATGAAAATGGTCATAAAATTGGGTTCGATCATGAGATGACTTGACTTGCAAAAGAAAATCTGATCCCAATTGTGATTGCACACTGAAGCCTACCTCAATGGGCTGATATCAGGCCACAACCTACATTCAAAATTGGTTGGTGTAAACAAGGGAGTCATCATATAACTAAATTAGTTTGTCAACTTAGTTCTAAATGTCTTTTACCCTTCTGTCTTGACATTTTCTCTTTGGGACATGGAAGGCAATCATAGCAGCAAAATGGCTTTTCCTCTTGTTTTCTCTTGAAATAACCAGGGATGCAACTCTCAGTACAAATTGAAACAGGTAAGGTCTGCCCAATAAATGAAAGAAGGAAAAAGTTAATGTTCAGTAACATTTAAAAAAATACCCAGACCATTCCCCCCTATCCAGCTGGCCAGAGTGCCATTCACTGACCTAGGGGGTATCACTAAGACGTCAAGCCATGTGACGCTCTGCCCGCTCTCCAACTCCCGCGGTTTTGCACATTAGGCATACCCGATAGGTCAGTGCATGGAGCTCTGCTCGGCTCAAGAAGGGGATTGCGTAAATGCCTGTTCTGCCTCCAAAAGGTATGCCTCTAGCCTCAACATGTCAACCACCGCCGCCTTGCTCTGAGCATAACGTCTTCCAGACAGAGAGTCTTCCAGCAGCCAGCCCACAACCATAGAGTGCACTACTAGAGCGGCCGCTGCTGGAAGACTCAGCAGCCAAGTTTTGGAGTTTGGAACTGGAGAAGACGTTATCCTCGGAGCATGGCGGCGGTGGTGGTAGCTGCAGGGACAGCTGGGCCCAGACATGTTGAGGCTCGGAGGCATGCCTGCTGGAGGCAGAACAGGTTCTCACGCAACCCTCTTCTCCAGCTGGGCAGAGCTCCATGCACTGACCTAGCGGGTATCCCTAATGTGCCAAGCCATGGGAGCTGGGGAGTGGGCAGAGCGCCATGTGTCTTGGCGCCTTAGTGATACCCCTAGTCAGTGAATGGCACTCTGCCCAGCTGGAGAGGGAGGTTGCCGGGCGGTTGCTCATGAGCTTGGTCACCTCATGGCTGCTTCACCCCTGAGGCTGTGCCCTGCTCTTTGGGAGCCAGTTTGCAAGGGAGCAGGCACCCGGCAACTCCAAAACAATAATCCCTCCCCTATAATAAGCCCAAGGCCATATTTTGTAAGTAAAAAGAAAATAAGACCCTGTCGTATTTTCGGGGAAACACAGTAGCTTCAGAATTATTAATTAATATCTAATTGCTTGATCCAAAGGATTAACAAACCTCTACTGGTATTCAATTATTTTGACATTCATTTTTAAGTACTTTTTCAATAGGTTAATTTGTATTTCCCCACACACATATAAGCAAAACAATATAGTTGATTCAATATTATTAAAATACAAAATAAATACTGTCAGATACTATATATTTTCTTTCTTATTCCATTACTTACCCAAGTGCATTTGTTAGAGCTGCCTCACTCAGAAAGTGATGTACAAAACCCATGTAAAACAATTACCCATTTAAAAACATTTTGCAAATCATTTTCTAAAACTGACCTAGGTCTATTCATTTTGGCATCCTTTTTATAAAAAGTTAGTCGTGTTTTTATTGTTCTAAAGTTTATTAAGAGCCAGAGCTGAGGTAGGCTTTTAGAGAGAAAAAAAGAAAAAGAGAGGTCTTTTTTGCTGACAAAGCATATTATTTTCCCCAAATACAAAAGCTGTGAATTATTATTTTTCTAAATATTTCTGCTTATCAGTTATTTTAACAATATCATACAATGTAAATAGATATACTCTTCACCAATGAAGTACAATATATAATACAATAAACCTAGGAACATTACTCAAAACATTTAATTATGTGAAGTATTTTGCAGTTATCAGAGCTTATTAGCTATTAGAAAATAAATAAAGTTCACTTTGATTTATGAATCTACTTCAAAAACTAGATTCAGTCAAAATTTCATAAGATCAGTTTCCTTTAATGTTTAAATGTTCTTATTATTTGTACAATGCTTTAGATAAATAAAAATAAATCCAGATTTCCAATATATATTATTGTACTACATCCATTATTGTACTAAATAATCTTTTATTTAGAAATAAAATGTAGTGATTTTAAAAACTATATGCTGTATACTTAATATATACACTACCATTCCTTCTGTGTATTTGCCTTCAGTCTTATTTCCAAGAACTGTTCTAGACTAGTTTCTGAAGTTTTTTTCTAAATATTTTTGGAAAAAAATTCTCCTTAATGCTTAGAGAAGTTACCAGATCAAAGTAACCTATTTGCTTCATGCTTAAGTCAGGACTAGTTTTGTGGCTTAAGTATTCCATCACACTGGCAATCATCCTTTTAAATAATGTTTTGTTTAATACTTTATATATCTTCCTAACATTTTTAAGCTTGACCATAACATATAATTAGAAAATCTGTACTAATTAAGTAATCAATTATTCCTGCTTTACAGACATTTTGAGTTCTTACTCTCCTGACAATTTCTGCATCAACGGCGTTAGCTTTTCTTAAGGCCCTAAAAACCTAATTATGTTCCCAAACCAGGGGTGCTGAATATTCCAAGGACCTTATTCCCTGCCTATATTGCTAACAGGCCAAATATCTTGTTCCTATTCATATTTCATTTGAATAATTTTAGTGCTTTTCTTGGTGTACCAGTTGCAGTTTTAATACATACAATTTTGAATTGTAAGCCACCCAGAGTCATTATTTAGTTGGGCAACCATAGAAATGGATGACTCAATGAATGAATTTCTCATAATATTTGATATTATTTCTGTGTTAAATGATATTGAGCTATTCATTCTAATCATTTAGACAAAATTGTCTACTCTCATAACCTACTTGGTTGAAAGTGCTGGGCCAGCTGATGGCTTCCTCGTGAATGGTGAATATTTGGTCTTCAGCAGCCCTGGGATCTAGCTTCCCAACTTTCACTCGATGGAAGGACTGGTTGGGAAATGTGACCCAGTTCTCCACATCCAGTCCTGTATACAGTTCTCTATTCTTGTCAAAGGAAATTTCATCTCCAACACTGTTGTTAAATGACACTCTTTTCAAGAAGAAATGAAGCTGAATATGGGGAAAAAATGCAAAGCATACTTAATATATACAGTATAACTATGTGATACTTTATCATTCTTTTTACTTGAACCATTTCAATAGGTGGCACACTGTCCTGACTTTCATGTGCTGTTATTTACCTCAATAATGATTATCTATGATTCCTGATAAAAAATCACTCTCTTATTATAACAATAATGGCGAACCTTTTTCTTATGGCGTTCCAAAATTGTGTTTGCGGGCACTATCACACACGCACATGTGCCCAAACCAATTCAATCATCCCTCACCAACCTACACATGAGGCCTCAGAAGCATATTTATTTTGAAAAACCAAATAGAAACTTTTAGTTAACCAGGCCTTACATGATTAAAAGCATTCTATTGTATTCCTTGTTTTGGGCACATACCCATATTGACTGAAATACTTCTGAGTGTTTACATTGAATTTACCAATTCCACAAAAGGAGAGAAATAAGGAAGAAACCTGCAAATCATTACAAAGTGTCCATCTACAGCTCACTTCCCTTTGTAACCAGGTGTGAGATGTTGGAGAATCAATGGCATTCAATTCCCATTTCCAAATTACCTGCCATGGCTGGGCATCCTGAAGATTGAGTTTTCTACTACTTAGATTTCTGTTCTGTTGTTGTGCCAGCTTCATGGCATGTAAAGCATGTGCCACAGCATACACTGCATTGTATATACTGTAACTATGACTGGTCATCCTCATTTCGAAAAAAGCTCCAGGAAGGTTCTCCAGTTTTTCCTTCCCTGTACACAAACTATCCATTTCCTCATTCCCAGATGGATTTGGAAAAACACAGCCAAATGCTTGCTCCCACACATTTTTGATAAAACCATCTTCTTTTGAAGTGAAATGGTTTCTTGTCCGAAGAAAATGTTGGAATCCTGCAACTTCATTTGAGTAAGCTGCAATGGTCAGAGCACCATGGAGAACTTGGATATCCCAGCTTTTCTGATAAAAGAATGATGCAAGACCCACTTGGGAAGCCACAATCCATACCTTGCCTTTTGGCTTTACAGAAACTATTTCCATTTCGGGTAGACGTAACAACCATCTTAAATTTAAAAGATAATTATCACTGATTATGATAACTTTGACTTTGCTGTTAGCAAGAAGTTGAAATGTTTCAACAAGCCATTTCAAATTATCAAAAAAAGTATTGAAATAAATTGATTTGAATTGTTCTAGGAAGGCAATGCAGATGCCTTTAAGAGAAAACATTGAAAAGATTAGATGTTCTAATGTTCTTCTAAGGTATTTTACAAGTACTCCAACCCAGGTCCACTTGAAGTGCAAAAGTATTTGAATAATCCCAATATAATGAACCTCTTCACTTGGAACTAAATGGTAGTAGAAAGGGCTTTCATTTGGAGCAGAACCAGTTGGGAACTATGGAAATTAGAACTGATTGTGTAAATAGAAAAACAGAGAAAAGAAAACAGGATGGCAAAAGAAAATGTGTATCCTCTCTAAATAAATAGTTCTGAAATATCTCAACATACGTTTTCAAATGATTTCTATACTCAAGATATTTATAAGACAATGATTGGACTAGATCAGTGGTTCCCAACCTTGTTTTGGCCATGCCCCACCTAAAAATCTCTAAAATCCTGATGCCACCCCTGTGACATATAATTCTTACTTTACTCAAAAAGTAAACTCTACTCACGTGGAGAAAGTCTAAAAGGCCATTAACTTGATTTAAGCAAGGTTCAAATTGCCCCCATTAAAAATCAAATTGCCCCCCCCCTGTGGGGCATGGGCCCCATGTTGGGAAACGCTGGACTAGATGAAGATTGTGTTCTCTTCAAAACCTTCAATTCTATGATTATCTTTTTTGCAATTCCCTGAATTTGCTTCTATGAAAAGCCTAACATGTGAACTTGTGCTTTGGTTTAATATTTATATATGGACTGACTGACTGACTGACTGACATACTTAGAGTACTTTTACTTTGGCCCAGGATTCTGGGCAGCACATTACCTATAAAAATGAAGTAAAGTATAATAATAATGAAATAATAAATAAATGATACAATCTTAAATAAGAAGAACTACAAAGTTTCACAACAATTATGTTTTATATACATATATTGAAGTCTGCATTAAAAGACTAAACTCACTTACTTTACAATAATTTTTTAATTTTTTCCAGTTGCTATTCTTACATGGTTTAAAAACAACGTTTGACCAAGCCTTACATTTATCATTTTACAGTATCCTGTGGTGCACATTTACTGTATGACCATCACAAAATCCCATTTCACAGACTTCACAAATGGCTTCCAACAAGCAAAATTTAAAAAAGGACACAGAAATGAAATCACAAGTCATGGTAAAATGATGTCTTGCTACACAATCATGATGAGTTGGTTAATGACAGAAGCAAAGGTGAGCTTATAAGTCTAGTATGATCAAATGATGTATCAATTAACAATTATGGTGCTTAGTGACAAAGTTGTAGATCCCAATTTTAACTAGTAAGTGAGGACCACCTGAAAAGGCAAAAACACTACCTATATGTCCTTGATCACCTAAATGAAAGGCAGAATATAAATATAATAATGAAAAATTTAAAAATGCAGAAACATTATTATTTTTCTCATAGCATTAGCAAGCAATAAAAGATTATGAAAATTTAAAGTTTCTGTATAATAGTTAATGTTTAATTAACATTAATGAATAACCTTTGAAACTCAATAATAGTTACATCAAATTCTGAGGTTGATTTTGTTTTTATTTTATGATATATTAAATACCTTTCTTTATACATAATATGTGTATGAAAGTCAATTATATCTTGAGGTCTTGCAATCTCCTATATTTGGGAAGACAAAGCTATCCATCTTACCTGTGGAACTTTGTAAAAATCTAAAATATCTACCATATCAAAAGTGATTCCAGGATCAATAGTTCCAATAACTGATATGAGTTTGTTCAGGAGGCCACACTTGTAATTGGGAATGAATTGCTTCTGACCAGAGAAAAGTTCCAACGTGGTATGATATGTCTGTGCCCCAGCATAACTATCATAGATTCTGAAGCCCAAAGTGATATTAGGTAAGAGCTGGAGGTCTTCATTGATCTTCTTCATAGTAAATATCATTGTCAATATATATTGATAATGCTTAGTCAGGACTCTGCCAAAAAATTAGAATCAAGTTGTATCAAATGAAATTCTCCTTCTAAAAAGACCAGTAAAAATAAATTCTTACAAAAATATTACAAACTAATAATCTGTCGTTAACAAATTGATGGTTAAACGTCATCAAAATGATGGTTTAGAGGATAACAGTTATTTTTTCATATTAATTGATTTATATTATATTATTTGATATTTAATATTGTGGAATTGTTTTTGAAAGAAATAATGGCAGTTTTTTCTACCCTTTTGATAATTGTAATCAATTCTAATTATGTGAAACTGACCAGAATCATTAACAAGCATGTAACATAGCATTGTATAAATGGGAAGTAAAATTTCATTAATCACTTTTTCTTACATGTGAGGTGGTTTCATTTTAATGTAAATGATTTTTTTTTAAAGGCAAAAGTAGCATAGAATTAGAATTTAATCTTACTTCAACAAGAAGAGGACTTCATATATCTTTTTGAAGGACAAGGAACATTGACTTTTAAGGGACCACAAATGTTTTGCATAGTTCAATAATGTATAAATTGTAGCTAAACCCAAGTGTTTCTAGTTAGCTGGTGTTAAAGATAGTTTGGTGCCACAGTGAACTAGCATTTGAACTAGCACTAGAACCTGTTAGGACTGCGGTGTTTCTAGGATTTGTAGATTTCCTGACATTATATAAAGGTAAAGGTTCCCCTTGCACATATGTGCTAGTTGTTCCCAACTCTAGGGGGCAGTGCTCATCTCCATTTCAAAGTCACTGCTGCATGGTCATGTGGCCAGCATGATTGAACCCTGAAGGGGCACGGAACGCTGTTACCTTCCCACCAAAGGTGGTTCCTATTTTTCCACTTGCATTTTTACATGCTTTCAAACGGCTAGGTTGGTGGAAGGTGGGAAAAGTAACCGGATCTCACTCCGTTACATGGCACTAGGTATTCAAACCACCGAACAGTTCACCTTTCTGATGAACAAGCTCAGTGTCTTAGCCACTGAGCCACTGCATCCCTCTTGATATTGTATACTGTATGCTAAATAAATAAATGTAGCTTTTTCTATCATGTTAAGAAACTATTTAAAACTGTCTGTGTATTAGACATTCTATTACAATTTAATCAAAATTTAGAGAGTATTTCTTCACTTAAAAATGAATTGATGGTAGTGGTGTGACATTTATAACCTTAATAAGCTTAATTTTAAGAACCTGTTGCAATGAAGAAATTGGAAAAAAATAAGAGCTAGGAAAGGTAGAATGAATTTCATCAATAAAAGAATACTGACAGCCTGTCTCCTGTCTGCTCCTCCCCAAACAACAAAAACCATTTCTGTTCATAACAATATTATTCCTGGAAGAAAACTGCATGTCTCATTTTCTGAGATAAAATATTTATTTATTATTTGTATATTTCCACCCATCTCACCAAGAGGAGATGCTTACAAACAACTAAAATACCAAAATAAAACAGTAAATATTTAAAATAAATATTAAAATTTACTGATGCTGCAATTCTTATCCGAAGGAGACTGGGGACTTGGGAGGAATGAAACAGCCATGAGGTTGATTTTTAAAAAAATTAGAATCATAGGTTCTAATTGTGGATTTCCTTTAGAAAATTTAAGAAAATAATGTATAGGCTAAAATAACATTCAGTTCTGGAAGAGTGTTTAAATCACTCTAGATAATGATTCATAGAAGTAGTAAATTATTTTATCTAGACTGATATAGATAATATAAATAAAATAATATCTTACAGAGATTCACCAAGAAGAGAATGATGGGGATCATCCACAAAGCTTCCTACATCTCTAGTTTTGAAGACAAAAGAAGTCATGCCACCAATGATTAGGTCACCTGGTTGGAAATATTTATGATTAATTGGGATAGGATCTTGTATTCTGCATTTTCTTATCTCTGCTTTGCAAGCTATATATGGCAATTGATGCAGGAAAAGATTCAATAGTGTCATAAAAAATAATAACCCCAGTTTGATAAAATCTCTCATTTCCATGTAATGCTCTACAATTTGACTATGTTGGACTGAATCTCTCTGTTCTTACAATGACTTCTGTTCTGTTCTGTTCTGAATCTTAGAATACAATTTGTTCTAAAAATAAATTATAATAATTAGCTGCCTCTAAACTCTAGACTATTGTCAGCACTATTTTCATTCTTTAAAGAATAATAATTTGTCAATCAGGAATTTGCTAAGTAGCAAATGTAATAATATTTTTTATTATATATAATTATAAGGGAAAGAGGAAATGGCAATCTTCAAATTATTGCTGATGTAGTAAGGTAGAATGAGTCAATAAGTTATGTTTTGAAGGAAATGGTTTGGAGATAAGCAGAAGTTATATGGGGTTAAGATGACCAAATTCATGTTGCATTCTACATTTTAAATTTTTAGCAAAAAGAAAGTTTGAGACAATGTAAGGGAATAATTATAACATCTCTTTACATCTTTATAATAAGGTGCTTTTCGCCTTTTCAGTTGTCTTCACAGCTGCAGTAATATCCTAGGACCATGATGATGAACCTATGGCATGTGTGCCAGAAATGGCACAGAAAGCCATATTTCTGGGAACATGAGTCATTGCCAGTTGCTCTTCTGGGTTCTGGCATGCTGGCCAGCTGGTCTTCATGCATGCAGGAGTGGGAAAACTGAAAGAGCAGCTGAACAGACCAGGTGGCCAGCACGCATGCACACTGGGAAGATGATCTTCCAGTTTCTGGTGTGTGCATGCCAGCCAGGATGGGCAGGCCAGGGCTTCCCTCCCTCCCCACTCAAGCGAGCTTCTTGCATGGGCCAGTCTTCCAGCCTGTGGCACCAACTTGTGTCCATGGTCCAAAGCAGTGGTGAGTTTAAAAAATCTTTGGAACCTACTCTGTGGGTGTGGCCTGCTTTGTGGGAGTGGCTTGACAGCCATGTGACCGGGTGGGAGTGACTTGCTGGCCATGTGACTGGGTAGAAATGGCTTGCCTGCCATGTGACTGAGTGGGAGTGGCTTGCTAGTCATGTGACCAGATGGGAGTGGCCAAGATGATGTCACTGA